ACACAAGCACATGGGACACAGCATGATGGGAATTATTTAACTCAAGCAGTTTAGATCTTGTTTTGTAGAAGCTTAGACATCCAAGAGCATTTAATTGGTTGAGGTATTCTACATGACTGTTGATTATGTTGCTAAAAGTGGGCATGAAAAGACTTTTTGTCAGACTAAATGAGATCATCACATCACACTTTGATGTTAGAAATGTGTCCCTATTTTAACAATACTCATAAACATCCAAACAAGATGGCATCTTTCTTAACTCTTATATAGGCAGCAATAATGAAGAAAAGACTGCTAGACTGTAAATTAAGTGCATTACAACAGACTGTGATATCTTAAAGAGCCCATCTGCTATGATATTGCACGTATCAGACTGTAATTTACACAGCACAAGGTGTGTGAAGGCAACAACTTGCATTCTGTTGTTCTTTCTACTCCTGTATCTTATGCTTCCCTGTCCCCTTTTTCTTTCCTCTCCCTGTTCATGCACACATCTACACATATAAACTCACAAACACACTTTCTCTCTTTCTCTGGGTGAGGTTTTGGGGTGATAGAGGAGACCCCTGGGGGAGCAAATGCTTGTTGGCTGTAGGGTTAAAGGTCACAAGTAATCCTCAGATCACATTACAGGCACAGCAAGCGTGACCCCTCGATACCCTCCTCACCCTGTGGGATTGTCGGTAACAGGGCAGAACGAGTCAAACCCCAGAACCGAGGTGGACTCAGATCTTTTTTTACTGCTGAGAACTTCCAGCCCATATGAGAGCCACAGGTTCTGCACTGAGCAATTATCCACGCATACCTAGGCAAAGAAATACATTAAATAAATGTAATTATACATGAAAATGGCTAATTATTTGGATGGATTTTAAGACAGTGATCAAACAAAATTCAAATGATCAAAAACACGTACAAATACATTGAATCTCACCCTGGAAACCAACTATGCAGTGTGGAAGGTCGTCCAATCAGGTTGAGGTTGTTGGCCTTGTAGACTGTAAGCGTCTCGTGAACATAACCATGTGGATTCACATATGCTGCCATTGGCCCATAAAGAGATAGGCTAAAAACAGAGGAGTGCTGAATGAGTAACTGTTTTCATTCCAGTCTTAAAAGGAAAGCTATCATATGCTTTCAGAAGACTTGGAATATTAAAGTCGCAATAAAATGGAAGTAACAACAGAGTATTCAAGTAAAACGGATTATCGAAGAAGAAAAAGTGTAGGGTTAAGACTTGGTTCTGTCATTATTTACTCACCCTCAA